CCCAGACCTGTGCGAAGAGACAACGTGAACACAACCCCCCCCAACCCCACCCCCGAGAAGCCCCTGGAGCAGGAAACCCCTGCTGAGCTCCAGGCAACAAGTCCAGGCTGGGAAAGAAAGAGCAAATTCATTTCCAGTGGGACCCCACGGGGCAGCAGAGTCCTCACGCAGGGCAGGATGAGTTGTGCCAGCACGCAGATGTTTTGCTAGAGCTACAAGGATTTTTCTGGTTTTGGTTTATTTTAATGCAGGAAGGGATTATCTGGTAACTCATCTCCCAGCACAGGCCTGGAGGTTGGCTGCACAGGGAATTTGGCAGCTGCAGCCTGAGGAGAGGTGCAAAAATCTCCATCTCAATTTTCTATGTCCCTCAGTTAACTTGAATATTCTTTTTCCCTTTTATTCCCACCCAAATGAGAGGAAAGGAGAAAAACCTCCCTAGAAAACGCTAAGACAAACACCACAGCCAAGAAGATGACCCCCTCCCTCCAGGCCTCTGCGCTGAACAAATGTTCTCTGCAGGCACCAGGGCAAATCCAGAGCACAGAGCAAATCCAACTCCCCCGTGGTGGGGCTGAGCAGGACAGTGGGACAAGGCTGCTGGTCCTCTAGCAGAGCAGGTGGGGATGGGAGCTCAACCAAAACCTAAAGGGCTGGCTCTGATTACCCTCGGAGCTGAGCTCCACCAGGCCCAGCCAGCCAGCACCTGGGGACTGTCAACAGACTGGTTTCAGGGCTTCAGACAGACACGTCCCAAGGGGAGGTCGCTGAAGGCTGGAAGAGGGAGGTGGAAGCCGAAGGACAAATTGTCCTGTGTGCTCAGCACCAGCTCCCCGAGGCAGAATGGCCCATGGGCACTGCCTGGGCTTGTCCTCAGCGTGCCCCAGAGCAGATGCTGCAGAGGCGCTCGGGGGGCAAGGAACAGGAGCTCGGGGTGCTGAGCCTCTGCCAGGGGACATGGGGGTGCTGAGCCTCTGCCAGGGGACATGGGGGTGCTCAGCCTCTGCCAGGGGACATGGGGGTGCTCAGCCTCTGCCAGGGGACAAGGGGGTGCTGAGCCTCTGCGAGGGGACAAGGGGGTGCTGAGCCTCTGTGAGGGGACATCCCGGCTGTGACCATGAGCACACACCCAGAGCTCATGCTCTAGAGGCTGGTCCAGCTGAGGAGGTCACAGGCTCTGCTTTTGACTCTAAACATGAAACAACTGCCATTTTCTTCTGGCACACACTCTCCTCTGCTGAGCCCTTCCTCCCCCAGCAGCCACGGGAAAAACTCAGCCAGTTAAAAAGGGAAAGAAATTCATTCTCCTCTTGCAGGAATGGTAACTTCAATGACGCCATTTGCACAAAGGACTTCAAACACCAAAACTCTATTGTCTTTCCAGTCACAGCTTCTAGAGTACTTCATCTCTTTAGTCAAACAGACGCTACAAAGGAAATCATATGCTCATGTCATCAACATCACAAACCATGAGGATTATAGATCTTTGGAGAAAGAGAGAAACGCGTTCATCGTTGGTCATTATACTACAGCCAACTGCACCAGTGGAACAGTCCATAATGTCCATCCAAAGAGACATCTTCCTAGAGGAGTTCTGTGACTGTACAACCTACCTTTCTACTTTGCACCCCTAGTTCTACAAGTGGTCCATGAGGATAGATATACAATAGCTCTACAGAGAAATCACTCAAGTGGATACATGAACGGGCCCTTTCGGAGTTAAATAAGAGTTTCAACAGTTCCACAATGCTACATTCATGCTACCAAGTTCACTGGATTGGGATTTTACTTTAGAAAAGAGAAAGGCAGAACAGTTTGTCTGTCTCCAGTGAGGAACATAACCACAGGAGGTAAAAGGGTCAGAAAGGGAGAGAGTTTTGTGTCAGCATTTTAACCCTGCCAATACCATCTCCTCCTCCAAAAAACACACGACTTTGTGTGTTCATCACTCCTACAGCTCCCGCCTCTCACAAGCCCAGCTGGCAGAAGCTGCCATGCTAAATAGTAAAGAATTGCCATACATTTGATTTTCTATGTTATAGCTGGCACTTTCCTCCCAAAGCTACGGACTGGTGCCTGCTATACCCTTCATAAAGGTCTGGAAAACATGCCCAAGTCAAGAGGGTAAGAGTCCAGCCAGGGCTGAGATGCAGCCACCAAACCTCAGGCCAGCTCAGCAGGGTGGCTTCCCAACAGCCCACACACCTCCTTGGCTCAGCAGGCTGCTTCCAATGACTTTAAACCATCTCTCTCCACCGATTCCTCTCCTGACTTACTATATGTACATTATTTCTTCAAAAGTTTTGCTATAAAACTG